GGATGGACTTTTTTTTTTTTAAAAAAAGGTGGGCAGAATGAGATCCAGAGGGTACTTGAATAGGACATCACTAAGAAATTGCCGCTGTATAATAACCTTGGAAATGAAGAAAGTATTTTATTTCTTCATCCCGCCTTTGTTATTTTTACAAATACCTCAAGGCAGCAAGCATATCCAACACACCCTTCCATTTTTCCCACAACACAACTCTGAGGTGAATAGGGCTGAGAGAGAGAATGAGTGACTGGCCCAAAGTCACCCGGCTGGCTTTCATGGCTAAGGCAGGACTTGGATGGCAAGAGGCAATGCACACTATTTCCATATTATTGTCAAGAAAAATGGTACCAAAAGTCAAGCTTCACTGGAGACTTGAGTCCACGCACACACACGTATACACTAGATTGTAATGTATACATTAGATTGTATACATTAGATTGCTGGAATTAAAAACATGACTTCAAATGTTCTTAATTCCAGCAATATAATGTATTGACAATATACTATTGTCAGTAATAATGTATAGCTCATCATATTGCTGTTGGCTTGCTTAAACACAAAGGCACCACCACAATGATGGCACCAAAAGTCAATCTTCGCTGAAGGCTTGAGTCCATGCACACACACTTATACAAACAATTACTTCAAGTGTTCTTAATTCCAGCAATCTAATATAGTGACAATATATTACTGCCTATAGGAGTGGCCAAAATTGTGGAAACTTTTTGGTAAAAGTGTATTTTTGAGATCTGATGGCTAATAACACCACTTTTTTTTTGGGAGTAGTACCATAAAATTATATATCAATGGAAAGATAATTTAATCAAGAATGTAATGCAACAAAGTTTGTTCAATTATCTGTACTGTATTCTATGAAAAGTGATAGCCAGATAACCAGAAAAAAGGAAGCACAACTTGCTTAGGTTGATATCAGGTAGCTTTCCTTCATCTGATTGTAGCCAATGTGCATGAGTGTTTAGAGACCCAATCAGGTGTCATCTTTTTTTTTTTTAAATTTTGCGGTCACAGACCAAAATGCAAGTACAACAAAAGAAAACACAAGAAAAATATATCACAAACAATTAAATGCCAGAAGCCTTGGCTAAAGGGAATTACAACATTCTCCTCTGGTAGTTACAGCTCTTAAAAGAAATTTAGAAACCTGAGAAGTAATATAGGAGGAGCCATCCCCTAGACAATATAAAACCAAATTACTAACATTAGAACCAGAGGGATCAATTCCAAGGAGAGACAATAATTTAATTCTGCCTGTGTTATACATAGGGCAGTATGATAAGACATGCTCCACAGAGGTGTCATCTTGTTTTGGCAATGAGCCAATCAGATCACAGTAGGATTCAGTTATTGATGTCATGTATTGATGCTGAGAGGAGGACATTTGTCAGTGTGTTATGTGATCACTATCAAGTTGGTTGGGTTTTTTTGTGTTCCTTCATTTAGTGAGCTTGTAAAATGTAATAAAATTAAAGTAATGGTGCAAAGAGTTGACTGGTCGCCCAGAAAGCGATGTAAAATAGTATTATTAAGGGAACAACGCTACAGTTATAAAGAAATTAGAAGAAAAATTGGTGGAAACTTAACCAAAGGTGGCAATTTCTACTGTACACTTTTCCCAAGAAAACAAGCAAGCTCAGAGAGCACCAAGGACCCTGCATAAAAACAGTATGCTGTTCCCAAGAAAACAAGGAAGCTCAGAGAGCACCAAGGACCCTGCATAAAAACAATACGCTGTTCCCAAGAAAACAAGCAAGCTCAGAGAGCACCAAGGACCCTGCATAAAAACAGTATGCTGTTCCCAAGAAAACAAGCAAGCTCAGAGAGCACCAAGGACCCTGCATAAAAACAGTATGCTGTTCCCAAGAAAACAAGCAAGCTCAGAGAGCACCAAGGACCCTGCATAAAAACAGTATGCTGTTCCCAGTAGTGGCCAAAATTTCCACAATTTTGGCCACTACTGTACAATAATGCATAGCTTATCATGTTACTGTTGGCATGCTTTAAACACAAGGTACCAACCACAATGGTTGCAAGCCACTGACAAATCCTATGGATATAACCAGTCCCTCTTTCTACCCAAATCAAAACCCATCTGAGCCCGAACATTCACTGCAGAGAAGTGTCAGAAAATAGAGAAGAGAAGCGTCAGAAAATAGAACATCCATCATTTCAGGAAGCGACTTATTTAGGTTGCTTACCTCGCTCATTCCACCGGCTACTGCGAGGACGATCGTTTCCTTGGAGACATATGCCGACCAGCAAAAACAACCTTCGCCACACTTGGCAGGTAGGCATAAAGTAATGGATGCGGGGGGAGGGGGGGAGTGCAGAAACCAGCAACGTTCACGAACTCCTTGCAAGTTATCACCGTTGTTTAAAAAAAATAAAATAAAGCACGCTTTGCCTTCAACAACGTCACAGCTCCCGTATCGCGAAAGCGGCCCAAGCGTATCGCGAGATCTGTAGGATTCAGGATGAACTCGGGAGATTTCGGGCTGAATTGTTTTCTCAGTCGCTGCTTTTCTCCCACGCGAAGCGGAGATTCCAACGGTGCTTAAAACTGCAATTTCCAAAATTCCCTGCCAGGTTCAGTTCGGAATTCTGAGAATTGAAAACTTAAGACAGTGGGAAGTAATCAATCTAAAGCAGGGGTAGTCAACCTTGGCTCTTTTATGACTCGTGGACTTCAACTCCCAGAATTCCTGAGCCAGCTATGCTGGCTCAGGAATTCTGGGAGTTGAAGTCCACGAGTCATAAAAGAGCCAAGGTTGACTACCCCGATTCTAAAGCAATGTTTCTCAACGTTAGCAACGTTGATGCGTGGACTTCAATTCCCAGAATTCAACTAGCTAGGGAATTCTGGGAGTTGAAGTCCACTGCCTGAAACTTTAACGTTAAGAATGCTTTAAAGACAGGAAATCTTAGAATATGTTTGGACCACAACTGCATGAGTCCTAGTAACATGTTTAATAGCACGGGTTTCTCATCCCTAATGTGGAAAAGCAGCATCCTTTCATGGGATATAATTTGCCTGTGTCTGTTACAGAATAAAGCAACCATATAGGCTTGCATTTGAGACAGTCTGAAGTAGAAAGGGAGGGAGTTACAAGGGTTAAAGAGGTTATAACTTAACTAGGTGATCCCTTTGGCTTCTCATTATGAAATCATTACAAAAAGTATAGAAATTTTATGACATAGTAGGGAACAGCATACTGTTTTTATGCAGGGTCCTTGGTACTCTCTGAGCTTGCTTGTTTTCTTGCAGACATTTTCATTACCCAAATTAGGTAACATCAGTGCTAGGGTCTATTTCATTAGACTAGCATTGATGATGTTACCCAGTTTGGGTAATGAAACATCTGCAAGAAAACCTGAGCTACAAATATTCTCCTTTATTAATACAGTTTTTATTGTAATATACTCAACTCTAAATTCCTTTAAGAATTCTGGCTGCTGTAATTTCTCCTGGTTTTGATTTTTGCAGCAGTTCAGAACTAAATTTAGACCTTTCGGGAGGGGGGATGTTCTTCCATTCTAGCAATAGGTCCAGGTCATCTTCCCGGCTTCATGTCCAAAGCGGGACTAGAACTCACAGCATCTCAATTTGTAGCCCAATGCTACCAAATTAGCTCTCAGAACTTCCAAAACCCTTTTCTATTTCATCCCATAGGTTCACAGCTTTTGATCCTGAATATAGGTAAATAATTATTAAAGAGAATGTTAGAGTGTATTGTCTGAGTTACTGTCTCAGCCCATTTTAAAAATAACTTAGGACTATATTTCTGCAGGACAATTTTGAAATGTTTTTTTAACAAAAGGAAAACATTATGTGCCTTCAAATCATTTTCCATTCCTAACAACCTGATAGAGTGTCATGGGAAAAAATTATCCCTAACTTAATTTTTCAGGTCTCAAAGAGAAATATGCAACTGATGTATAAAGAATAGAAAATAGTGCAATGATTTTCATCTTCATTCATTACTGGTGGGAGATTACACTATTTTTATAACATATTTCTGAAGCAGTTGTTCATTTGGCAGCACAAACTGTTGGGGAGGTGGGAATGGCATAATAGCCGAGGAATCTTCCTCTTTGAACAACAGAATAGCAGAGTTGGAAGGGACCTTGGAAGTCTTCTAGTCCAACTCCTTGCTCAAGCATAGGACCTCGTATCATTTTCAACAAATGGTTGTCCAGTCCCTTTTGAAAAGCCTCCAGTGTTGGAACACCCACAACTGCTGAAGGCAAGTTGTTCCACTGGTTGATTGTTCTTACTGTCAGGAAGTTATTCCTTAGTTCTAGGTTGCTTTTCTCTTTGTTCAATTTCCATCCATTGCTTCTTGTCTTGCCTTCTGGTGCTGTGGCAGCCCTTCAAATATTGGAACACTATCATGTCACCCGTGGTTTTTCTTTTCACTAGATTAGACATACCCAATTCCTGCAAACGGTCTTCAAATGTTTTAGTCTTCAGCCTACCCCCCCCCCCCGCCCCCCATCATCTTTTCTGCACTCTTTCCAAAGTCTCAATCTCTTTTTTTATATTTGGGAGTGACCAAAATTGGATGCAGTATTCCAAGTACTCCAAGGCACTCTAAAGCGGTAGCCTCACTTCCCGTGATCTGGATTTCATCCCCTCTGTTAATACAGCCTAGGATCGTGTTGGCTTTTTTTTTTGACAGCTTGCACCACATCGCTGGCTTATCATTTCACAAACGCCTCCCCAACCCTAAAACTAAGGGGAAATCAAGCGATTTCCTAGCCCTCCCCCAAGCCTGCCGGTATCTCCAGGAACCGGAAATGCACCGCGGAGAATCTCGCGAGAGTTCCTATGCGGAAACCCGAGTTCCGAAAAGACAGGAGGCGCCCGGGCGCGCAGGCGCGGAAGAGGGCTTGGTGGGTTGCCACTCGCTGCTGTGGTAACCGGGTTTGACTGGGGCGCTGCTCGGAAGAGCGCGGCTCGGGGGGGAAATTCCTCTTCTCCCAAGATGGCGGTGGTGGGGAGCGGGGGAGTGAACCCCTTCCTCAGTGACTCCGAGGAGTCCGAGCCAGAGGAGACCAGGCCGGGGGGCAGCAGCGGTAGCGACCCCGGCGTCTCGGCCGCTCCGCTCCCGGTCTCCATCTCCACGTCCTCTCCGCCACCCCTTCAGCAACTGTTGCCGCCGCCCGTGCAGGCCGAGGAACCGCCCCGGGTGCCCGTGGATGCTTTAGCGGCTCAGCTGCTGCGCGACCAGTTCGTGTTGACGGCGCTGGAATTGCACACGGAGCTTCTGGAGAGCGGCCGGGAGCTGCCTCGGCTGCGCGACTATTTTTCCAATCCTGGCAACTTCGAGCGACAAAGTGCGGGCGGCGCCGGAGCCCTGGCACCGACTCCTTCCGCCTCGGTAGCTCCCGGGATCATAGCGATGGTCGGAGGCGGGAAGGAGCCTGGCGCCGGACAGCTCCGTAAGTGGATAGCCGTGCTTAAAACAAAAGGAAGCTTTTTTTTTTTCCCCTTCCCCTTGCCCCAGGTTTCAGCCCTTGCTTGACCTTGGCTTGGGTGTATTTTTTTTAAAAAACAAACAAACCCTCATTTGGGGTGTCGGAGCGTTTGTGAAACCTTCGTGGAAAAGAGGCAGGGATCGCCCCAGTTCTGCCATGGCAGGCGTGAAGAAACGCCCAGATGGGTTCGCTCGACTGCATTGCTAGCACCGATACCCGTTTTTGGAAAAGATGGTGGTGTGACATGACTCAAAGCACTTAATGAGAAGGCAGGCTTTTTTTTTAAAAAAAAATATATATGTATGATTGGGCTGGATGGTTTTGAGACTGCAGTCAAATTTATGTAGATAGGACTAAATCACATTGAGTTAAGTACCAGGTATGAACTGTTGATAGGTTAGATGGCATAGAATCTAGATTGTAAGTGCTATCTATTATGAATCTCTGAGGCTTTTACTGTTCTTATGGCAAGGTTTTTTTTAGGGCCATGGTGGATTGAATTATACAGCATAAGTTTAAAGGGGTTTTTTTGGTAGTTCATGCATCACCGTAGAAAAGAATAGCGGTTCTGTGATTTCAGCTGATTTGATAAATCTGAATTTTATATATACACACAAACACGATACTTTCACCTTTGTCACAAACATTTCAATTCAGAAACAAATTTGAGAGAGACTCTGAGAACTAATTTTAGGAGGTCACCGTATGAACTTGCTATGGAACCTTGTTCTAAGTCATAATGTGTTTGGTTTTACCTTAGCCTGCTTCATGAGTCCAGCCGGTTGTGATTTAGTGAACAAACTAGGAATAAACATAGTGCTATTGATGGTGATAATCAAGTTGGTGTTGAATCTTAATGAGTCAACCCCAACTTGATTACCACCATCAAGTTGGTAGTTTTTCTTCATGATGATGTGTCCTTTATCTGGTCTTTCAGGTCTTCTAATGGTGTACTCATTACCACTGTAATCATGTCCATACATCATGCTGTTGGGTTGGTCATTTTCCTGACTATCCCTGATATTTTCAGGAGTCTTTGGTGGCATCAAAGTTCAAAAGTGTCAACATCGTAGTGCAGTATGTAAAACCAGCTCTGAGTTCTGACTCAGCTGAAGTTGTTCTGGTTCGTCTTGCCATTTGCAATTTGATAGAAACTAAAAAGTCATAGCTAAAGAAGCAGCAGGTTTTTAAAAATCTGTACTAAACCATTGGCAAAATAAAGATATTAAGTTAATACACTTTATTGATTTTAGTTTTTGCTCTTTCTGAGACAACCTCCTGAAATATCAATGCAGGAACACATTTTAGAATACTGTGGTGGTATAATTAATGCTGAGATATTGAATTAGATAATAGAAGTTTCATTGAAAATGTATGTGTTGTATATATTGCTTATGGCTTCAGATTGTGGGAGGATGTTCGGACAATATTCAGTAAATCCTGCTCAACTCAATATAAGAATAGTAAGAAATGTTTCCATGCAAATGTCTCCATCTTTTCAAGCTTTAGTACCACTATAGTGCTATTTAATTCAGCTACATTGGCAAGGCCACACCTAGTCAACCTTAGGTGATTTTAAAAAATGTTAAGTCATTTCTAGTTTGTACTGGAAGATTATGAAGAAATCTACACTGGGAAGTCAACAGTATATCCCATTAGGTGGCAAGTGTCTAATAACATTGAGTCAGGAAAGACTTTATGTAAATGATGCCATGTAAATGCTTTTAAGGAACACAATATCAAGAAATGCATCACTGTACAAAGTCAGGTAGAATATTTTAAACACCTCCGCAGTTTAGAGAGAGGACAGCATTCTGTGATTTTATTGAAAAGCTTCCATAAATACACAACTGCATGCACACAAACATCTGCAGCAGCCAGGATTACTCTCTTGCTAGAATTTTTGCAAAATGTCTTTGTTTCTGTTACTCTGAAGAGTAATTTTAGTTCTTTATTTCAGTCACATTAATAAAAATAAGGAGTGTTTGAGTGTTTGCAAATAACACTAAACCATAATGTTATTTCTTTAGTTTCCATTTAGACATTTTTTTCTAAGCCAATAATATGTGGATTACCATATGTTGTGATTTATTTAGCAAACTAAATCATCTCGATACCTGATACTGATAAGGTACTGGGATCACATTTTTACAATACTATACATGTGACTTGGCTATTTGTACAGGCAATGTAGGATCAGCCAACTCACCTCCTTCCTTCTGTTAATTGAAAAACTACAGTGTAAAATCTAATTAGCAAAATACAGGCTTTAAATATACTGCTTACTAAAACTGCTCATATGAATATTTATTTGCCAGTATAACAGGTACTAAATTTTCAAAGCCAATTTTAGTATTGTATAAGAAGAATGAACTAATTTAGTATTCTATTATGAAAAGGCATTTTTCTTAAGGCAAGGGTAGAGATCATATGATATATGTTGAACTTATGTGGTATTTATTTCTTTTGTGCTTTTTTCAAACATCTAAAGAGAGGAGATTTGATACCATTTGATTTTTCAGTAGCATACAATTATCAATTATTTTGTGAAGCAGTCATGTGATAGAACTTATGAGAGGGCTGACTTGGTAATGTGATAGATTCTTAGTTTGATTTTACAGTTTTTTAAACTTTTTATTAGCTTAATATAGAGATTAGTGATAGCTAAGATTTTATTCTTAAGTTCTTACTATTATAAATACTGAGGACTTTTTTTGTTAATAATTTAGTTTATCTAAATTAGGGATGCCATCAGGCATATTCACTGTTCAGCTTGTTTTATAGCTTGTAATACAGGTAATCCTTGCCTTACAACAGTTTGTTTTGTTACTGTTCAAAGTTACAACAGCTCTGAAAAAAGTGAGTTATGATCGTTTTTCAGACTTATGACTGTTGCAGCATTTTCATGATCACACGATCAAAATTTAGACACTTGGCACCTGACTCATATTTATGATGGTTGCAATGTCCCAGGGTCATGTGAGCACTTTATGTGACTTTCTGACAAGCAAAGTCAATGGGAAGCTACAATCATTTAATAACTACAGTAGTGGCCAAAATTGTGGAAACCTTTTGGGAAAAGTGTACAGTAGAAATTGCCACCTTTGGTTAAGTTTCCACCAATTTTTCTTCTAATTTCTTTATAATGTAGCCTTGTTCACTTAATAATACTATGTTACATCGCTTTCTGAGCAATCAGTCAACTCTTTGCACCATTACTTTAATTTTATTACGTTTTACAAGCTCACTAAATGAAAGAACACAAAAAAACCCAACCAACTTGATAGCGATCACATAACACACTGATAAATGTCCTCCTCTCAGCTTCAATACATGACATCAATAACTGAATCCTACTGTGGTCTAATTGGCTCATTGCCAAAACAAGATGATACCTGATTGGCTCTCTAAACACTCATGCTCATTGGCTACAATCAGATGAAGGAAAGCTACCTGATATCAACCTAAGCAAGTTGTGCTTCCTTTTTCTGGTTATTTGGCTATCACTTTTCATAGAATACAGTACAGATAATTGAACAAACCATGTTGCATTACATTCTTGATTAAATTATCTTTCCATTGATATATAATTTTATGGTACTACTCCCCAAAAAAAGTGGTGTTATTAGCCCTCAAACCTCAAAAATACACTTTTCCCAAAAGATTTCCACAATTTTGGCCACTACTGTATGTTACTAACTTAACAACTGCAGTGATTCACTTAACAACTGTGGCAAGAAAGGTCGTAAAATGAGCAACTGAAATTTTGGACTCAATTGTGATCATAAGTCGAGGAATCCCTGTAATGTATGAACACAGGTACTATTAACATATTACCAAAGAATCTTGGAGCTCTCTGCTTGGTTAGGTATTATCTGTATATAGAATATATGCTTAGAATAAAAGACACCAGAATTTCTTGCTGATCTTTCCCCGTTGTTTTGCATGGCAGAACTATCCTTCACTGAATATCTTTGCTTTGATGTGGACATCGACAACAGCAGAAGTTTATATGTAGGCTCACCCAATTGCTCGCCTGCTTGTCCATCAGATTTTTAGTAAAATTTGGTAAAAGCCTTCTGACAAATGTTAACTTTAGCTTTTAGCTAAAATTATATTCATAACATATTGTAGTGTTATTTGCTAAGACTACTAAGAAATAAAGTAACAAGAAAGATGAAGAAGAGAGGGTTAGAAAAATTAGCCGAATTTTCTTGTTTCCCCTGCTGTAAGAGCTCGTGCTTAACAGAATAATGGTTCACTAAATTAACACAATTGATTAAGTTTACATAACATATTAATTAGTCCATAGATTTAACTACATGGGCTAAACTATGTTGGCTAATTTGGGAAACCAGAGTGTTGTGTTTATACACCCTATTCATTGTTTCTCATTTTTTGCTCCCCTCTCTTGCTCTCTTCACTGATGATTGTGTAAATTGTTTAGCTGTTGGTCATAATTAACTGATCTTATTAATGGTTCACCACTAATTACAATTGAAGGACTCAGAAAAAGTATTTCACAGTGGGAACTCCAAAACTTTCTCCTTTGAACAAAAAAAAATAATTTGTCATCTTAATAAAATAGAGTATATTTATATTCATTAGACATGCTTCATATTTTCTTTTCACTGTAAATGAGGAAATGATTGCAGCTCATAAAATAAACGAGGTAGAAACTAGAGGACTTGATGTATAATTACTCCAAGAGCTGGAGCAGTTATCCTGTGTAATTTGCTTGACAATGAAGCAGTACTTCAAAACTGTGATTAGGTAAAACTGTAAATATATTGGTACTTTCATGACTTTAATCTTGAACAAAAATAATGTCAGATGCAAATACGTTTAGGTTTTAGCAAAGCACACCAAGGGTTTAATGTTAAGTTAGCACAATTAAAATTTTATTAATAGCAATTAAAAACTGACTATTTTTCTGCATTCTTTAATTCTTTCTACCAAAAAAC